TCTCTCTCACACACACACACACACACGCACACGCACACGCACACACACACACACACACACACACACACACACACACACACACTGGCCTCATACCCTGTGATGCAGCAGTAACTCAGTCAATGAGTGTCACTACCTCTCTGAAACATCCTGAGGCTGCGGCAGCCACTATGAGCCACCCTCCAGCCCACACCCCTGCCGCCGCCTGGTCACAGCCCAACAGGAAGCATCAGAGCTTGGGCAGAAATGGAGCAAAGTGTGGGTCAGCCTGTGTCCTGGGGATGGAAGCTGGAATGTAGGTCTGCTCTACAGGGGATCATGTTCATGACTCATTACTAATCGCTCACCATCGTTATATCCCTCGGTGACTGGTGATCTTTATGTGAATACATATATGATCTACACACAGGCCCTTCTGGGCTCATATAGCCTACATGTATTCTTAAAGTACAGTTTATTGCTATTTGTAAATAAGTGACATAAAGGAGTGGTACACCTGGAAGATAGATTTATCTATATTATATGAGAAAATTATATCAAACTACAATAAGGCCTATTGAGGATACAGTCTAAATGTTGTTTGTTTCCTGAATAGTTGCAGTAGTGAGAAAACTGAACTTCTTTTTATTAAAGCAGTAGTTACAAATTTAGTTAGAGTTAGATGAGAAGATTGATACCACTTTCCTATCTATTGCTAAATAAAGGTTACAGCCAGCAGCTGGTTAGTGTAGCTTCACATATATATGTATATATATGTATACATATTAAAGGACTGTTGTATTAGCTGTGCGTTACAACTGAATGTATATATACAGTCTATCTGTACAAAAAGTGTAAAACAGACAATGGCTAGGTTTGGTCTCCTTTTGTTTCCAGCTTACTTACTGACACAACAAGATTCCAGGACTAATAGACATAAAGTGTTAATTAGTGAGCTTCAGAGGTGTTAGTATGCAGATTTTATTATCTTTGAACAGAGGCAGGTTAGCTGTTTCCCCTCGTTTCCAGTCTCTATGCTAGGCTCAGCTAAAAGGCTATATTTATATTTTCTCATCTAACTCTTGGCAAGAAAAAGATTAACCAGATTTGTGAAGATGTTCCCAATCTATCATCACACTGCTGATGTATGTGATGATGTTGTCAAATTAAGCTTGCATTAAAGACATACCCTCACAACTCTGACTGTAGGCAGTGAAAGCTGAGCTCTGCAGGGTGATGGGACAAAGCACTACGGGGGTCTAGCACTGCCAAGAACTGGCAAGGACCTGCTCTGCTTTGTGCCACTGCAGCTGACACACATAAATCTAAACCACATAAGCAGCTCCTGTGTCACACACATGCCAACATAAAACACAGGCACCATCAAACATCTGTGTCCGCACAAACACGTATTCCCGTTGTGAAGGAAATAGAAAGTAGGAAGCGAAAAAATAACAAAAATAAATGTAAAACAACTGTGCTTAATTCAGCTGTCTCGCTTTTCACTCCGGCGATGCACCTCTTTCTCTACCAGCCAATGAGTCGTCAAATGTGTGTTTACGTAATCCTGACCAATTCAAACTATTTTGTTACGGTAAAGAATGGGGGATTAGTTTATGGAGCTTCAAAGCCAAATATAGAAAACGCATGTGAGGGATTATAGACACATCAAAGAATAAGGATGGAGAATACATTAGGGTGCAGTTTCATCTTCCATCTCCCTCTCTCTGTCTCCTTTCTAGTCTTTTTCACTGAAGGAGGCAACGTGACGCAAAGGTTGGAGCAGTGAAAAGAGAACACTGGACCTCATTGAATGCATGCAAGACTGATATATAGGTTAAGTTAATTAAGGTTGAGTACTGTGTTGGGAATTTGGCAGCGGATGATAGTTTTTGTGCATAATCAGTCTTAGATTATCATCGGCGTGTGCCAATAAAATATCTCATATAAATATATTTAAAACATACCTACAAAAAGACTGTGGTACAGTAAAGTTATGAGTCATCTTGTTTTCAAGTCAGGATATAATTACATGCTGCAGAAATAAGAAGGAGTGCCATCAAGTAAGATTCATGAAGTGTATTTGTGTGTGTGTGTGTGTGTGTGTGTGTGTGTGTGTGTGTGTGTGTGTGTGTGTGTGCGTGTGTTGCTGGAAGAAGAAAAGTGCCAAATCCATGCGGGAGAATGAATTGCCGACTTCACCGTGACTGACAGAACCCGAGGGCGGCTGGAGTGATTGTATTTGAACGCCTCTTATGTAATTAGGGTACGTTATTTTGACTGTATGGAGCCCTAAAAATAGGGATTATGCTGCAGTTTGGCAATTGCAATATTAAAATATCTTCAGGGTTTTATAACCCACACAGTAGGGTTATGAAATGTGCTTTTTACATTGTAAAGTGCCGAGGAGGAGGTGGCACACGGGAAAAATAAGCCAGGATGGATTTGAAACCTGTAAACATGCCTTAAGAGGAATTAAATTATGTAACAGTTTGTATGAGTTGGTCTTAAAAGTTCACCAGACGCATAACAAGGTGAGTGTGTGTGTGTGCACCACCCTTGTTTGTGTGTTTTGTTGTCCCAGTTGCGGTGGCCGGTTCCCAGCTGATCTAGGATTGTAGCTTTCCTCATAACTGGATGTTAATCTTGTGTGGAATCCAGCACTGCTTCCGGGGAACGTTGCCTGTGCGACACTAACATCGCCACCTGGTCCTTGGGACAACACACACACACACACACACACACACACACACACACACACACACACACACACACACACACACATACACACACACACACACAGACAGTCATAAGCTCCTCTGTGCACACAGAATGGGTTTATAGTTCATGCAACTGTTCACAGACTGTGTTTAATTACATAAAACTGATTGTGACTGTGCAGGGACTGTTTCCTATTCACCAGCATACAGCATACTGGTTAAGCTGGCTTCTACTTGGTCATAAGAGAATATGTACAAAAAAGCTACCTAGATAAAGTTGTATGAGTTGTGAAAGGGTTAACTGTGTTTGGCTTATATTGGGAAATAACATGCTGCAGTTCAGACATGACTGTCATTTGAAAACTGTCAGTTTTGAACATGAGTCATCGATAATGAGGATTTGGAAAAGATGGAGTTTTCCCCGAAAGTGTAGATTTAAATGCTGCCAATAAATAAAAACCACTGCCAACATCACTGACAGCTGCAGTGGCACTGAACATGAGGTAAAGTCACTTTGCATAGATCATTTAAAGCAGTCCAACAGAATCCTGGTGGTATCAGCATCAAGCAGCGTATTAAACAAAACCTCCAGGAAGAGTGGAGGAGTAACGGTAAAAGGCATCACATCCGTTGAGAAAGGATTTCAATTTCCCCTTTTTGAAGCAATCTGACTCAGCAGGAGAGGGAAGTGAGCAGAGTGTAACTTCCTATCCAAACCAGAGCAAATTAACCCCATCTTCTGCTAGAGCTATAACATAATAACCTCTGCATGAGTTTCGGCCTTTGACCTCAAGGTGTTTGAACCGGTGGCCCCTCCTCTCCGTCATGGGAACAGTCTCCCTCTGTTTATGGCAGTTTAAGGGGCCTCAGAAGTCGCCGGCGGCAGTCGGTTTGTGATCTTTACTGACCAATGTGGGTGTGCTGCTTGGCGGAGCCATGTAGGCCCGTCGAGCCCGCTGATTGGTCATTTAATTCCAATGAAGGCGGGGCTAATTCAGTAGTTAGCCGAACTGCGTGTCAATCGAATGCGATTATGTTGCTTTCAATGACTCCTCGTATTTCTGAAACATCATAGAAAGCGCAGTTAGGTAAAGAAAAACAGCATTTAGGTCCTCAGTTCATTAGATCTTTTTTCAGTGCTGGACTGAATTTAAGTATATTTACCCCAAGTAAGTTAAATACATTATAAGGTATTATTATTTTTGCACTTCCACATTTCAGAGGAAATTGTAGCCTACCCTTTACTTCACTACAGATATCTGTTAGCTATAGTTACTTTACAGATTCATACTTTACATAAAAACATGTGATGAGCCTTTAGAATATGATTGTTATAGATTAAACTACACAAGAGAATGTGAAATAGTTACATTAGCTCCACCTTGACCAGCTGCAACATACAATGCTGTTTACATGTTAATGTGTAAGTATTAACAGCCGCTATAATATACAACAATATACCACTAAGGTTAAAGGAATTGTATTTATCATTATTTATTTATTATTTATTTATTGATCCAAACGTATTTAACAGTAGGGGGCATTCTGCTTCAAAATGAGAATGAATTCAGGATCCCCCTCTGTAACATCAGCCGTTATCTTTTCTTCTGCACAGATTTAGCCATTTGGGTTCACCTCCCCCTGTGCAAATGTTCCCCTAAAACATGTCATCAAACAGAAAGTCTTTGGGGTTTTAAAGATCTGGGCATTGAAGATCTAATGAAGGCTATCCAGTTGCACTGTGGGAAATGTAGGATCTGAAATTTGTGTTTTTGGAACTACTAGGGCCTACAAATCAGTTTATCTCTGCCTCTGCTGCATTAGTTTTAATCATTGTTGCTTTAATATGACCATTGTGAGTCCCCCAACTTTAGGGAAGTGACATACTAAATCGCTGGAACACCCCTTTAAATAAAGGATGTGAACTCTTCTTCCACATAGGCCTTCATCTGTCTGCACAGGACATGCTTATTGTTTTGAGGATATTTTTCTTTTGCATAATATAGCCTAACTCAGCTGAGCCAGCATTGGTCCATCAGTTTCCATGGTGATGAATGGAGTTTGGCAACTGATAAACATCAAATTAATTTACCATTTTCCCTTTTAATTTAACTGTGAAATAATCCTCCATAACCGCCTGTAATGCACTGTTAGCTGGAAGGTATAGAGAGGCCGCCTTGTGCACGAACCAACCGTCCAAAAGGTGAAAACCAAACATTTCCCACAGCCCCTGAACGCAGCAATGCCCCCTCTGGTTCACAGTCTCAGCGCCGTTTCAACGTGATCGCGTCTGTGTGAGAGCAGTAGCGGTGTGGTTTCCGAGGAGCGCTCATATCTACTTTAAACAGGATGTAGAGACTGAGACACAGCACGGAAAGAGAGAGAGAGAGAGAGAGAGAGAGAGAGAACGCGGGTTGAACTCTGCGATGTGCACCACCAACACCAGCGAGACAGAAATGACTGCCACAGCAGCGGAGGAGAAGAAGCAGACAGGAGGAGTCCCGATGAGGCAGCTCACCGCCGGCAGGTCTTGACGGCTGCTCCCCCTGACCTGAAACATCCCGCACCGCCGCAGCACCGCACGGTTTACACACACTAAAAAAATTAAATAATAATAATAGCCGAAATACTCCACATCCCGTCGGCGAACCTTGAAGGCGACAATGGCGAGCCTGGGCGACTGCTGTGTGAAGGTTGCGTTGAGGTAAGCCTCCTACGTCTGTCTGCTGGAAATCTGCCGACCTTAGCAGACCACATTGTGTCTGTGCCTCCGGCGATCAATTAAACGCATCCTGCACACCTATAGTCTTATTTTACTCTCTACACTCCCTTAATGTCTCTGCTCCTTGTGGGATGCAGTTAGGTTTTACAGCTACTGAGCAGAGTATCACACCTTGTTTTGCAATACATGGGTGGTGTTCTGCACAGTATTGATAAGGGAAAGCATGTGCCAGCACCACGCTATCTCCATATGATTGTTTTGATGTATGTGGGGGGGCATAAGTTCTCCACAGCATTAGTTGTTCCCGTTATGTGTAGAAGCAGTGGGTTGCATTCAGGGTTTAACATTGGGTGAAGTGACAAGGACAGCTGCAGCCAGGTGCAGGGAGGAGAATGGGCGTTTCTCTACAAACCAATCTTTGCATTATTATTCTCACAGGCAACTACCTGCAGTCTCACCTCATCCTAACCGTGTCTAGTGAACACCTTATGGCTGAGTTTGCACCATAAGCAGTGTTTGTGTTTTAATGTGTTAAAAATCCTGCCTCTGCAGATGACTCGAGCACAAAGAGATGCTCTCCTTCAGAGCTGTGTCATTCACTGCCTTTGTTGGAAATGCACCCAAAAGCTCGGTCAGCACAGCAGCTTTTGGATTCGTATCAGGAGATATTAGCAGCCCATCGATTGTGCGTGCCAAGACTAAAATGCTGATTTGAAAGAGAGCATATAAATGTGCATGTGCTGGAACTGGGTGCTTCTCAAACTGGGAGGCATGACTGGAGTGTGACTGGGGCTACGCCTGTAATCATACACATTTTGCAGTGTGTGGAGCTGAGGCGGTGGTCTGTCCTTTACCTCAGACCCTCCCAGACTCTGTCACACTAGCTAATGAATCCCACTTGGTCACACTGACAGTCCTTTATTAGAAGATTAAGAGAAAATAGGTCTCCTCGCACCCTCTTTTATAGTGCAAATGTACGCAACAGCAGCAAAGTAATAGTGAAATTTAACTATTCTTCAAAAACGACTCCTTTCAGGTCCTCCAACCCCAGTTTGGGACCCATTGATTGAACTTAGTGGGGGTGGAGGATGGGGGATCAGCCCAGTAAGATGAACCATACAACTGATGGCCTCATTTCCCCAGGGGAGGTTTCAGAGTCACTTGTCAATCAGCCGCTGAGTGTATCTCCTTTGTGCTTGTTCACAGAAACAAACTGTAACAGGAAGTGGGGTGGGTGGTGCTGACAAAAAAAGCAAAGCAAAAAAGGTGAAAAGAGAAGCCATAGAGACAGCTGGTGGCTGCTGCTCAACTGAAGTTATTGATTAAAGTCTGGAGAGCAACTCAGAGGCTTGTTGACAGAGTGTAAGTGAATGAATGAAGGTGACAGATATCGCCTCACACACCACACGCCTGTGTGTTGTTTAGCTGTCGCCATCTTTTTTTTTTTTAGGGTGATGTAACATTGGCATGATCATCAGTGTGTAAGCACATTTCTCTTAATATAACTCACTAAACTCACATTTATCATAGAAAAAGAGGGCCCGAGCATTTTAATTACAGTAGTAGCTTTTTAAATCAGTTTCATTAGCATCAACTTCACGTTGTAATTAAACAGTTCGTGTAATTACATGACTTCACTGGTGGGCGAGCTGCTCCTTTTCATCATGTGTGATCTGTGTGTGTATTTACATACCCTGTGAGCGCCACCAAAAGTGTCTGTGTGTTTGACAGGAAATGGGAATGGCCCACAAATAAACACACGCAGAAGGATAACTTCCTGCCGCATAAGCGACGGTTTTCCCAATGACCGCAGAGCGTCTTTTAATTCTTTCCCCCTAAGAAAGTCGGCCACTGATAAGAGAGGATGGTGTTTAATTGCTCCCATGTTGTGCAGGCCCTCAGGCACACGGCATACAGCTCAGGACTGTGTGTGTGTGTGTGTGTGTGTGTGTGTGTGTGTGTGTGTGTGTGTGTGTGTGTGTGTGTGTGTGTGTGCATTTGGAGGGCAATGAGGTTGTCATGAGGGCCAACCAACACACATGCACATAGTCTGAGTCGCCAGCATCCATTTCCTGAATGTCTGCACTGCCTTTCCTAAACAATGTCCATATAACCGTTGACGTGACCTACAATCCTGCATTCAGACCTGACTGCCTGAGGATTGGATGTGGACACACACACACACACACACACACACACACACACACACACACACACACACACACACACACACACTTAAGTCAATGGTTCTGCATTGCAGTCACGTCAAACACGGCAAGATGCATGTAATGTAACTCCCTACTAAGTGGCCGTCTTTAAATTGCATTGGCTGGCAGCTGGGTTGGCTGTTTCATCTTCATACAGCTGCATTCACTTACAGGATAAGCTTAGTCTGATGCAAACAGGCTATAAGGATGATAAGACTCCTACATTTTCTGAGTCTCGCCCATGTGAACCCACACACACACTCACAATCATGCAGTTTCACTTTACCTCGAGGGTGCCTCCCTCTCTCGTTGATCTCATGCTGAGTGCTGCATTTGCCGCCAGATTTAAGGCTTTATGTTAAGGCTGGCTCAGAGCGTGCACGTGCTACTATAAATGTCAATAATTCAGCTTTTGTGTGTATGCATGTACTCGATATGAAAGTTACGAGCAGTGTGTAAAATCCCATTTGCATATCGAACGCTCTCTCCTGACGTTTCTCTCTGCAGCTCCACCACTTATTCATTTTAAACTTGGGAGTGACTCTTGTCATCCATCGAAGTGCTAAGTCAGCCTCCATAGCTGTGTATAAATAGACACAAAGACAAATCTGTTTAGAGCTATTGTGGTCTTTGACCTTGTGGCTGCTGCTTGATGTTCTCACCTTAACAGGCTTTTCCTCAAGGCTGAACTCTGTCTGATTTGAGCTTCGTTGCCAGAAAAATCTCCAAATGAATCATCAGTCCTGTGCGTTTGATGCATTTGTGGCTGAAGATAATGAAAAAAACAAGTTCTGCAAATAGAGCACAAAATATTCAGTGTTCTTTCAGACCCCACATGCACATGAGTCGGGTGTTTTGGACAGTTATGACGCAGAGCATTTTGGCTTAAAGGCGATGGGAGCTCAGCTGGAAAAAGGATTATCTTTTATCTCTCTGTCGTCTGCTTACACTTTGATCAACCAGTCAAAAACAGTGCTTTGCAGAAGCACTAAAGTTTATAATAAATCCGTCCAAGTGCTGCAGAGTTTTGCCACTTCATGACCAAAAACACTGGCTTTAAAACAAAACAGGAGTAGGGGAATACAACTGTGGAAAGGGCCCTTCACAGCTGATACACAAAGGCTTTAAACTGGAGCTTTTTTAAAAAAAAGGGGTGTTTTGTTGTTGGATGTATGTCCTGTGTAGGCTACCAGTCTCGCCTGTTTCCTGTGTGTGTGTGTCAATGGTTTGCCACACAGGCTCTGTCTGGGTTACACACCTCCCCGGGGGGTTGCCTTTAAAATGGCCTGATGGGAAATTGTGGACGTGTCTTTGTGTACGAGTTATCAGCCTACAGTATGAACTAGTCACATGGTAGTGCTGCAATGTAATCTCCTCGGTACATTCTTACACTTGGTCTCAACATTCAGCCCCTCCATCTCTTCAGCATTGAGCTTTCTGCAGATTCGCCGGTCAGGACAAGTGAAAGCACTTTTACTTTGTTGATGGGAGTCACCACTGAATTTGTTTTCAATCAGTGATTTGGCCTCAAACGAGGGATGAGGAGCAGGAAACATGACAGAGCACACGCCCAATTTGTCCACCCACAGCTGTGCATCACTTCCTCCTCATGCTGGCCTGCTTGTCACATGTTTTGTTTGTTCTTGCCCTTTAAACCTGTTAACCCTAACAGTTCTGTGTGAATGTTTTGTGGCAAGATTGCTATAGCAGCGTGTTTAGAATTGCTTAGCATTGCATGTACAGTGTGTACTGTCTATGTGTGTGTGTCACTGCAGTGAGGATGAAAGAATCCTCTGACATGAGACCTGAAAGTTGATAGGAGCTTCATGATTAATCAGGCTCTACAGGCTCTGGGAATTTACGAGCAGTTTGTGGTCCAAGGAGGTGAAAAAGGTCTCCAGGACAAACAAGTTAGTGAGGTTGCTCATCGTGAATTTCCAAACAATAACACAACTCCTCTTAATGGCACGTCAGATGACGGGCGTATAATAGAGCAATGTGATTGTGTTGGCCTGACTATTAGGGGAGTGGTGTTTGTGTGCTCAGTGTATAGAGCATGGCATGTGCTTTGGCATTAAAATGGATTGTGCAACTGGTCTGCTGATGAACTTCATCAGCACTCCCAAATGGTGTGCTGCTGTTGCAGAATGACTTCCTGTAAGGCTGCCGCTGGACTATCCACACTTCCTGTTCACTTCCTGCTTTGCGAGCCGCTGATGAGCCCGTTGACATGATTCAGTTAAGAATGAATCCTCAGTGAGAGTGTGAAAGTGAAAAAAAATTGACTTGAAGTTAAGCCTTGGTCCTTTTTTTTTAAACCTTCTAGGAATAAGTCTACTGCCCCGCGATCTGACTGAGAGAATCAATTGAAGTTCTACTTAATAAAAAAACATTTTCTGCTCTTTGGTGACAAAAAAAGGCCAGTTGTTCCTGACTATAAAAAAAGTAGAAAGAATACATTGATCCCGAGTGTGTGCTAACTGTCTACCCTTTCGATGTTTGCCTCATCCTTTTATTTTCTCTTGCTCAAGCTTGTCTGCACTGTGAGCAAAATAAAGCGTGAAACTGCAGAACCAAAATGCTGGAATGTCACCAGCTTACTTTCCCCAACAGCTACGACCTCCTCCTATTACGCCCACTCTTGCACATGTGCATACACACACAAACACACACAGAGATCTGTATTTATTTGAATTCATCCATTTGAATTCAGTGAGGAATGAAAGGCGCTTCAGTTTGAACATTTGCATTTTTCTGATATCAGGATATACCTCA